GCCTTTATAAAAGCGAATGCCTTTTAGCCACCAAGCCCTCTTTCGAATTTTGATTAGCACCTTATAACTGCTTTATAGTAGCAGAATTCTGATGCACACTCTTCCAGTGGAATGGCGAGAAGTGACATTGTTCTGGATTATAACAAACTTGTAGAGGATTTTCTGAGACTATATATAAGGGTTGGGGCAAGGAAGACGTCGACCATTGGGATGAATGCATCATAGCGCAAAATGAATGTGCCACGGCTGAAACCTAAGGGATGTCTGAGGGTCTTCCCTTGGTTACCAAATAGGACCATAAAATTTTCAAAGGAAATTTATGAGTCTTTCCCGGTTTATGAGAAGCATGTGAGTCACTGAGGTTATGTCTTTATGTTTAGTCATCACTTATAAATATTTTTTTTATGTTGATATTTGTCATTTCTTTAGGACTTGTTGATATTTTCTTTTCATGTAAGACTTATGCATCGTTTATGGAATATTTAGTTTTGAATATTCAATGGCATTGTTCTTATATTGATTGCATGATATATGTGAGTGAGAAGTTTTACAAAGTTTTAGTAGCTTAAAAGAACTTAATTTTACATAAATAATTATATTAATGATAATTTTAAATTAAGATTCTTAGATGATGATTGGGAACATAGTGACCTTTCGAATCTAAAACCTCATGTGAAATTATTCATTAATGTATTAGGTTTGTGTAAAATAGATGCATAAATGTTGGGCATTAATAATTCATGCATATATATATATATCTGAAATGTTAAGATAGAATGGCTTCAACATCTAAGAATATAATGGCTGAGTTGAACAAACGAGAGAAATTAAACGGCGATTATTATGGAAAAGCAAGAAGCACTCGAAATTCTTAATCAGGTTATGGAAGAACTTGAAGATGGAAATACTGCACAATACAAAAGGGATAAAGATGCATTTGTTGTGTGGAAGAAAAAGAATTCTATGGCTCGCATTATGTTGCTGAGTAGTATGGAAAATAATATCATGCAGGAGTTAAGGCATTTTGACAATGCCAAAGATATGTGGGCATCATTGGTAGCAAGGTTTGGTCAAATATTTATCACCAAACTAAAACAACTCATTATAAGGTTTGACTCTTATAAGAAGCCTCATGGACAAATCATGAAACAACACTTGAGGCGTATGTCAAACATGATCAGTGAGTTGAAGGATGTTGGCCACATATTGACTGACAAAGAGCAAGTGCAAGCAGTAATCTGTTCGTTGCCTTAAAGTTGGGAGCATATGACCCACAATGAAAACATAAAGACCTTTGAGGATGCTATGTGCCACCTCGAACTAGAAGAGAACCGCCTCTTAGCGGCTAAACCAGAAACAGACATTTATTTTGCTGGTTTTGGCTCACATGGGGCTTTGGGCTCCGAGCGCAAGCGCTTGGGTGGGTTCAATATGTGGGATGGCAAGTGAGTGAATTCTTTAGATAAAAAAACCGAAGCTCAACCAACATGGGAAAAGAAAACGTCCTTTCAAGAAGAACATTTCAAAGGTGAAGTGTTTTAGCTATGATAAGAAGGGTCATTTCGCTCGCGACTGTGGCGAGCCAAAGAAGGTATAGACCCTTTGTATTCTTGAGAGTATTACTTATGTATCAATGCTCATTTTTTCTAAGTAAATCTAATCCTTTATGGACTATAAACTCGGGAGCCACAGACCATGTAGCGAAGGACGAAGATGCATTCGTTGCGTTCCGACGAGTTCCACTTGGAGCAAAGTGGATATATGTGGGGAACAATTCCAAAGTGGAAGTCAAATGAATTGGCACCTACTAATTGATTATGCGTGGTGGACGCACTTTGTTCCTACATGATGTATTATATGCTCCGGAGATTCGTCGGCATTTAGTTTTTGTGTTGGTTTTAGTTAAGCTTGGTTTTAAATTAAACTTTCATAACAATGGTGTTGACTTATTTTTGGGAACAAGTTATTATGGTTCTGGATATTTTCTAGATGGTTTAATTGTACTGAATATCGACTGCAGTGGTGTTAATGTTTGTTATTCACTATTTACATCTTCCATCTCTTATGATAATGATGTGAATATATGACATGCTAGACTTGGTCATATTGGCTAACTACGAATGAATAGATTAGCCAAAGAGGGTTTAATGGCCAATTTTGAAAAAGTTAATTTGCCTATTTACTTGCATTGCCTAGAGGAAAAAATGACACGGAAACCATTTGGAAAATGAAGAATAGATGAGTTTCCTTTGCAATTGATCCATTCATACATCTGTGGTCCAATAAATGTAAGAGCAAGGTTTATAGATGATGATACTCAATTCAGACATATCTATTTGACTTTTCATAAATCTGAGACATTAAGTTGCTTTAAGAAATTTACGAGCTTGGTATAAAATCAATTAGACAAGAAAATAAAAGCAATAAGATCCGATCGAGGTTGAGATATACGATGAGTTCATAAATTTATGTGATGAAAAATGAATAAAAAGACAATTGTGTATTTCATATACTGCTCAACAAAAAGAAGTTGCAGAAAGGAAAAACAGAACCCTACTGAAAATTGTTAGGTCTATGATGGTACTAGCTAACTTACTAATCACCTTTTGGAGTGATGCTTTGTTAACTGCTGCCTATATACTTAATCGTGTACCTTCTAAATTAGTTGCTTATACTCCATATGAGTTATGGATAGGTATAAAACCTGACTTGAGTTTTCTTAAACCTTGGGGTTGTGCTGTCCATATTTACGAGCCCTCTCATAAATACAGAAAATTGGGTCCAATAGGCAAAAAGAGTATTTTCATAAGATACTCAAAGCATTCAAAATGGTACATGTTTTTAGGTGAGTAAGAAAGTGGAAGTGTAATTGAATTTGAATCACGAGATGTCACATTCTTAAAGAATGAATTTTCTAAGGAGGGCGAATAGGTGAGGACTACTCTCTATTTGAAACTTTGAATCGTGATAATGAAATTAATGGAGTTCATCCAAGTGGGAGCAATGTGAGAAGTGGGGAATTAAATTCGAACTAGTCTCAATTACAACCACCTAATGAGATGATATACTTATTATCTAATCCAAGTGGGAGCGTAATGAAGCATGATGTACCAAGAGTAGAGTCTCCCATATGGCGAACAAGTTGCAAAAGCATTTTCCATCGACGTTTTGACATTGAAGGGGAAACTTTCATGGTCGCTTCGCAAGAAAAGGATGAGCCGAGGAATGCAAATAAGGCTCTAACAAGCCTTGATAAAGAAAAGTGGATGCAAGTAATGGAAGAAGAAATGAAGTCAATTGAATCCAAATGAGTTTGGGAATTGGTTGATCTCCCAAAAGGAAGTAGAGCCATTGGGAACAAGTGGGTTTTCAAAATAAAGCATAAAGTTGATGGCTCAATTGAAAGGTATAAGGCTTACCTTGTGGTAAAAGGGTATAATCAAAATGAAGGAATTGATTATGAATAAACTTTTTCTCCTGTGATGAGATTTATCTCAATTCGCCTTATTCTGGCAATAGTGGCAAGTATGGATCTTGAATTACATCAAATTGATGTAAAGACTGCTTTTCTCAATGGAGAATTAGAAAAAGAAATTTATATGGAATAATCCGTTGGTTTCATTACAATACGATAAGAACAAAAGGTGTGTCGACTTTTAAGATCGATATATGACCTTAAGCAGTTTTCGAGATGATGGTATGTACGTTTTCATAATGCCATAATGGCATATGATTTTGATATGATCGATGAAGATCATTGTGTATATATCAAAAGATCCAAAGATCAATTTGTGATCTTATTATTATATGTGGATAATATGCTAATTGCTGGTAGGAATATGGAGTTTGTTAATATGATTAACTATTGGTTATCTTCCAATTTTGAAATGAAAAATATGGGAGAATTTGCATATATTTTGGAGTTAAGATTTCAAGAGATCGTTCAAAGAGATCATTGTTTTTTTCTCAAGAGACGTATATAAACAAAATCCTTGAACGATTCGTATGCAAGACTGCAAAAGGTGAAGGATTGAATCATAGAATGTGTCCTAAAACTCCATAAGAACATGAACAAATGAAACATATTCCTTATGCTAGTGTTGTTGGAAGCTTAATGTACGCTATGATGTGTACAAGACTTGACATATGTTTTGCAGTATCCAATTCAGGTCAAGCACATTGGACAGCCGTCAAAAGAATCTTGAGGTATCTAAAGGGTACTACTGATTATTCGCTGAGTTATCAAGAAAGGGATCTGTGGCTTGAAGACTATTTAGATGCTGACTGGGGAGGAGATTTAAATGAAAGGAAATCTACTTCTGAATTTGTGTTCTTACTGAATAATAGCATTATATCTTGGAGTAGTAAGAAACAAACATGTATAGCCTTATTCAAGATTAAAACCGAATTCGCGGCATGATCAGCAACAGTACAAGAGGGTGTTTGACTTAAGAGATTTTAAGATCACTTAGGTATTGCTGAGAATGCTGCAAACTCATTGTTGGTTAATTGTGATAGCCAAGCAGCGATAGCTTACACCAATGATCCCAAATTTCATTGTAAGACCAAACATACAGATACAAAGTATAACTTTGTCAAGGATATAGTTGCACGAAGAGATGTGAACTTGTAGTACATATCTATGCATAGCATGATAGCAGATCCTATGACAAAGCTAATTCCTAGAGATGTTTTCTTGATTATGTAAAATCTCTAGGACTGTGTAGAAGTTGATGTACTCGTCATTTGTATTTCCCTAGAAGTTCACATTTAATGATATTTTCTATCATTATTAATGCTTGTGAGTTTAGGCTACGAATGACAACCATTTTGTTTCAGAAATCAATTTCTGGTCAGAAATTGATTTTTCTATTTTTGTTTCTAGAGGCGTTTTTGAGCAAAAAAACACATTTGATAACGACACAAAATTTCTATTCCAGAAATACAAATTTGTTTGATAACGGCACAAAATTTTTTCCTCTCAAGTGGCCGGTGAGTGGATGGCGGGCAGTGGACGGCGGAGGGAGGCGGCAGCGGGAGGAGGGTTGCCGGCGGCAGGAGACAATGGCTGGTGGTTGGCGGGCGGCGGCCCCCGGTGGCTGGCGGTGGGAGGTAGCTGGAGGAGGGTGGCCAGAGGCGGGAGCGGTGGCCGATTGGACGGCGGTCGGTGGCCCACGGTAGCCGGCAGTGGGAGGTGGACGGCGGCGGGAGGAGGGAGGCCAGTGGCGGGAGAAGGTGGCCGGCATTGGGAGGTGGGTGGCGAGGGGAGGAGGACGGCCGGCGGCGGTAGACGGTGGCCGGTGGACGGCGGGTGGCGGCCCACGGTGGCCGGCAGGTGGCGGCCCACGGTGGCCGGTGGTGGGATGCGGACGATGGGAGACTATGGCCGACGGTGGGAGGCAAGCGGCGGGGGGATTCGGGCAGCGGTGGGAGACGGTGGGCGGTGGATAGCGGGCGGCGGCGGGAGGTGGGCGACTGCTATCGGCGGGTGGCGGCGGGCGGCGATCGCCGCCAAGTGGGTGGCGGATGGACGATCGACTAGTAGCAAGGGTGAGCGATGAGAAGAATTTTAATTTCTCATTTCTATTCCAGAAATAGAGAAGCAAAAAATTTTAACTTCTGATTTCTGTTTCAAATTTATTTATGGAACAAATTTTTGTTCCAGAAATAGAAATTAAAATTGCGTTACCAAACGGATTTCTGTTCCAAACTTATTTCTAGAACAGAAATAGAGAAACAGAATGGTTATCATTCGCAGCCTTATTTGACATTTATGCATATTAATGCTTGTGCATTATATTAAGAAAGTATGTTGGACAAATGAGAGATTAGTCCACTCACATTGGTAATTGCCTCTATTTACTGCGTGATAAATAGAGATGAGATAATTTTAAACTTATTACCTAGATGATAATTGAGAGCTTAAGCTTAAAATATAGATGTCGCCTTAATATTTATTATGTTCGAAAGTGAAATAACCCACATATTTTACTTTATTTGTCTTTGATGCCAGATGCGAGTTCTAATAGATTCTTTAAAATGAGTATATTTGTTAATTCAAGTTAGATATTGGGAATTCTCAACTATCATCTGTATGGTATTAAGTGTAAAGACATACGCTCCATGGAAAGAAGAAAATACCGTAATACGTAATTCATATCACGTATGCATGAAACGACTAATAAGAGATGACAAAAGTTTTGATCTCAACTTTTTAAGCCGTGTGAGACTCTTGAGGATAAGTGTTCCTCAATTGTGTACCCTTATAACTCTTACTTATTCCCGAAATTTGTGTTTAGTGTTGGCTATCTTAGAATGTTGCCAATGATCATTAATGATTCGATCGAACGGGACATTACTTGAAAAGCAAATTGAATAGGGATTGAAAGATTTAAGGGAAAAGGAAGATCAATTTGTTATTGATGTCACATTCTATTTTTGTATTCTCAGGTCGACTAATTATGATTATTTATGTTTAATCGTAATTGTGAATACAATATATATAACATACTTAAAGAGATCAAGAGAGATATAAATGTGACTAATTGATCTAGGGTACTGCATACTACATCTACTCTGACCCATAATATCCAATTTGAGCTGTTATATATTCCTAACAGTTGTATGGCAACGAGCTCTCGATATATGTTGGTCGTACAGATTATTTACTGATATGAACTTTGCAAAGATGAGAGAGATAAGCTTAGTCCATCATGGGCAAGTGGGAGATGATGGATATTGGGTTTTATGGGTAGGCCGCCCATATTGGGCTAACCAAACCCATGACCCATCATGAGGGCCATATCAAGTAACTGTTTTGGCGATTACTTACGGATCATGCAACTGCTCTTAGTAGTTCAATTAAAAAAAAGGGGATAATGTATTGTGAAAGAGATAGAGCAGTTATCAATAGATAAAAAGAAACGCAAAAAGGAGAATGACGTCCTGAGGTTCTGAAAAACACGACATTTTTGCTTTTTGCTCTTCACCCCAACGAACGATTCGAGGAACTCTTGAGCCTGTAATTGACGACGTTTAATCCGTGAAAACAAGGTATGTTCGTTATGTGATAAACCTATTCGATTAGCGTTTGTAGTATTTCTTGGGCATGTTTCTCGTTTGTTCAAGTCTCGGTTTTAGGAACTATTTCTTGACTGTCCGAGATTTTGAATCCGTTTCCAACACTTTCGCTCCAATTGCAAAACTAAACATGGTAAGAGTGCTTTGACCACTTGCAGTCAACCTTGACTAGCCTCTGCAATAACTAAATGTGAAGAATGTATTTTTGAATGGAGATTTGGAGGAAGTATACAAGGATTTCCCCTCGGGCTTTGATAGAAGATTTGGATCAAAGATATATAGATTGAAAAAATCACTATATGGACTGAAATAATTACCGAGGGCCTGGTTTGAGAAGTTCACTCATTCTGTGAAGAAACAAGGGTATGTTCAAGGACAAGCTGATAATACCATGTTTGTAAAGCATTATTGTGATGGGAAGGTTGCAACTCTGATAGTGTATGTGAAGGACATCATTTGCATTGGGAATGATATTGCCGAGATGAACATGTTGAAAGAATGTCTCTCTTCTGAGTTTGAGATCAAGGATTTGGGAACTCTTAAGGTATTTCCTTGGAATGGAGGTAGCTCAATCGAAAAAGGGAATTAGAGACTCACAAAGTGTCACGCCCCGAACCTTACGAGCGTGCGATCATCCCTCCGAGGTCTATTCAGTGCGACGTCCCAGGACGCGTCGCCGACCCAAAACCCAAACAGAGAACAATGCACAAGCGGAAGCAACGATTCACCAGAACAATAAAACACATGACCAAGGATAGCCATCGAACAACAACCATTATAAACATACTTGCATTAATGACAGGGATTTACAATATCCATTACACCGGAACTATACGTGTAAACCAAAATGGGTCAACGGCCACTAATATATACTTCCCCGTTCCAACCGGGGTACTCGGTCACCGAACGGTCTATCCGGTCTCGGATCCCAAAATGAATCGGCACACCTGCCATCCTCAAGGCTGGGGTTCTGAAAAGTGGGGTTTAAACAATAGTGAGAATAAATCTCAGCGAGTAGGCCCCCTAATCCAAAACTAGGCTAACATGCACCTCCCGGACAAGCATCAACTAAACACACAGTTGATCAATCACACGACTTAGGCCCTCGGGCCCAAATCAAGCATATAGTGACCCTGCAGGTTAGGCACATAATAATAATAATACTATGCCCAGCAATGCACATACACATGTCAATTGGCCACTGTCACATGCCACACACATGTTTGCACTCGTTTATGCACTCTTCGCACACTTGTTAATGTCATGCTTCTGCTTGCACAATTCAATGCACACTTGCACACTTGCACACGTGCCAACTTTCCATTTATTCACCGACCCGCGTTAAACGCATCAGGTCCGACCCGCGTAAAACGCATCAGGTCCATCACTTATCCAACACTTCCTGGCCCGCGTAAACGCATCAGGCCCAGTGTCTCTAGCCCGCGTAAACGCATCAGGCGCAACACTGATCTCCATATACAGACCGAACCCGCGTAAACGCATCATGTTGGCCGTCTTCCGGCAATCCGGGCATCGTCCCGCGTTAAACGCCTCAGGACGGGTTCATTACCCCGCGTAAACGACACCTCAGGGTTTATGTGATCACACGAGCCTAATCCACCAATTATTATCTGAACCCCGTGTAAACGACGCCCCAGGGCGATTTAGGTGATCACATGCTCATGTCATTCGTGCACACTCACATAATGCACATATTATGCCAATGCTCGATATACACATTCATGGCCATAACGTCCACGCTCGGCATCCACAATTTCCACACTCAATTAATGCCACAATATGCTCAATTCACATAATAGCCCAAATCAAGACCACAATGATCAGCCACTAAGAACAAGGGAAAACCGAATACACAGATTTGGAGCAATTCTGAGCCAACGCACAGTTCTAGAATCCCTTTTTAAATAAATAGTAATTCAACTCCAAAAATTATGAATTTTGGATATGTTGCATAAAACATCTTGATAAACATTTTCCGTGAGAACTCAAAACCCAGTTTCAACTGTAAACACCTCTTTTTGTCACTTGAAGTCAGACGAAAATCAACCCGTCCGGTCAGGCCGCCTGACCATAAAAATGCATCTCATCCAGTACCCAAATCACTTTGGAAAGCCTTGAAATTTTATACGTCATAGAAACGAATGTTCTTAACAATTTTTGTGTAGGAAGTTTGTCGAAAAGAGATCTGGAAAAATTTATAAAAAATCGAACAGACCCGAAGGTCGGAGGAACAGTGTTTTCGGCAGACTAATTTCGGTTCAAAGATGGACTTCCGAATGGTCTCCAATGATTTCCAAAAATTCTCAAATTAAATTATGCCATACGTCAAAATGTTATGAACAACTTTCATGAGAACACTTTCACAAATTCGACCCACAAGAGTCACAGAGAAAATAGCAAAGTCCGGCGACGCAGCAGCAACCCTACCGAAAATCAACCAATGCTTAGCCCATTCTAGGCCACCAAACCACATTTAAATCATCACACTAAATCACCAAAACAACCACAATATCAGCCCTAATAAGCTTACACTAATTAACTCCTAAAATACCCTAATAACCTCTAAAACTTGTCTAAAGTGCACATAAGCCTAATTAAGGGTTAGGGTTTCCATTCACTAGGTTTAAGGCTTCAAATGTGGGCCGGACAAGGAGAGAAACGGGCTAAACAGCGGCGGCACGACGCCGGACCAGCGGCGGCGAGCGACGGCACGACGCCGGACCAGCGGCGGCGAGCGGCGGCTCACGGCGGAGTCGGGTGGAGATGGGGGATGAACGGCGGTGCTGGTCGGGCTGGAATGGAGGGCGAGAAGCAGCAGAAACCAGAGGAAGCAGAATGAAGAAGCAAGTAGCAGCAGCAACAAAACAGCAAAGAAAAGAAGAGAAGGAAGAAGAAGTCAGCAGAAGGAAGCAGCAGCCACGTGAAGCATCATGGGCAGCAGCAGTAGAGGCATGGGCAGCAGCAGCATGGTCAGTGGTCAGCAAAGCAGAAGTAGAAGTCACGTGAGGAAGTGGAGAAAGTCAGCGGAAAAAGAGTCAACAATGTGGGGTGTTCGGCGGGGAAAGAGGAGGAAGTCAGCGGCGTGGGCAGCGGCGACGTAGGGGAGGAGGAGAAGAGAGAGAGAGAGAGAGAGAGAAGAGAGACCAAAGTCAACATATTAATCAAGTGTAATCCAAGGACTCACAATTGGTCTTGTTGGGCAAGCTAGATCCAAGGGCCACAATTCATTTTTACACAAAATATCTAGAGGCACTTAGGGAATTGAGCAAGAGTGATGGGGGCACCAATGTCCAATATTTTCGGCACTATTAGGGGCTGAATAAAATAAATTAAACCTCTAAAATTCGGAATTAACACTTAGGGCTTAGGGGCAATTCGGTAATTTTCCGATTCCGGTCCGAAATTCCATTTTTCGACTATACCGACCCCAAATATAATTGGCCACACTAAAACGACGTTG